CGGATCTGGGGCTGCTACACGGTACCAGCTTGGGGGGAGCTGCGGCAGCCCGCACCCCCGGGAGCGGGGCACCCCGGGCCGGAGCAGCCACCCGCTTGCCCGGCTGGCGAGTGGGACCCCGGGCCGGGCAACCCCCTCCCCCGGCCTCCGGTGCTGCTCTGCCCTGGGGCGGGGCGGTGTTTGCTGGGGTCTGGGGGGGGACAGAGGATGCCCGCCGTGCCGGGGGGCTGCCGTGGCTCCCGGTGCTCCCTCCCGGGGGGGACACGACACACAGGACACGTTCCCGGGCAGGATGGAGCTGGCGGCCTGCACAGCCGGCCCCCCTTTCGGCCCTCTGTGGGGCAGCAGTGTCTAGCTGTGGGGTTGGCCCCACTTTGAGGGTTGTTGGTGGTGGTGGTGATTGGACCAGTTGGCCTCCAGAGATGCCTTCCAACCTAAATGGTTCTGTGTGCTGATGTGCCTTTAGGAGCAGCAGTCAGAGCTGTCAGCAGCCCGTCCCATTTTTTTTTCCTTCTGAAAAACCTTTCACCAGCATTGTCATTCCCACCTCTTCCCTTCTCCTAGCAAAGACCCCTGTGCAGCCCACACCAATCATAGAATCATAGAATGGTTAGAGTTGAAAAGGACCTTAAAGATCATTGAGTTCCAACCCCCTGCCATGGGCAGGGACACCTCCCACCAGACCAGGTTGCTCAAAGCCCCATCCAGCCTGGTCTTGGTCTGGCCTGGCCTTGGCCTTCCCTCCTGAACCCAAGCCCCTTCCTGGCTGGGGAGCAGGTTCTACTTTGTCTTGTCTGGATGCCTCGGGGTGACTCAAACTATCTGCTGGAGAAGTCTTGCACATTTACTTTTCCCTTTCTGATCATTGCTGTGGCTGTGCACACTTGTAGCAGAGCAGCAAATGACCTAAGGGACACCAAAACCTACTCTCTTCTGGCGACAGCTGCCTGTGTGTCCTGTCTTCCCTGCAGTAGTCACCTGGTTTGGGGAAATTATGCACAACACTTGTTCTTTATTCATCATTTCTATTGAGCTTGCTGAAAGAAAAAATAAAATCATTCTGCAGCTGTTCTTAGAGTTGTTACAAATACTACTTTTTATTTTAATTCCTGGATTCACGGGTGTTTTTTTTTTTTTTTTTTTTTTTTATTTTGAGTGGGGTTGCTTACTCCTCGCTTGGGGAGCGTCCAAATTGTGTCACTCGGTCTCAGCCGTGCTTGCAACCGGAGCTCCCGGGAGGGCTGGGGACAACGAGCGTGGCAGCTAACGAGTGTTTTCTGGAAGGGAACGAAACCTGAGGGACTGGAGGTGGCTCTGGGTGGGCTGTGCATGGAGGGGTGGCTGGAGAGGGGACAGCTGGAGCACGTTGCTGGTGCTGGGGTCCTCCTCGCAGCAGATGGGAACGCTGGAGCCGGAGCAGTGTGCCCGGGAGCAGGGCTGAGGGGGTGCTGCCCTGTTCTGTTGACTGTTTTGAAGCCGCCGGTGACAAATCCAGTTCGACGTCACAGCGCTGGTGCCTTGGGGGCTGTTTGGGGCAGCGGTGGAAGTGGTGATGTGCTCGTGACCCACCTCTACAGGTGCTTTGTCCCGCTGGTGCGGCAGAGAGGGAGGGCTGGGTGCTGTGCTCTTACCAAGCAGACGTGGCAGCGTTAATCCAGAGTGTGGATCGGGTCAGCAAAGACATTCCCCAAGCCCTCGGTACATTTGGAGAGCAGAGCTAGTTAGTCTGGTGCAGGAGTAAAACTGGATGGAGGAGAGGGGCTGAAAGTCAGGGAAACATTGACAATAGGTTGACTTAAGGCAAAAGAGTCTTCTGAAGCGAGCTTTTGGGAACCTCATGATATGCTTTAATGGAGAAAACCTCATTTAACGCCAGGAGCTGGGCTCACGCGCGAGCACACGGGCTCAATTTGTCCCTTTCCGAAGAACCCAGCTTTGAGGTTTTCTAAAAGTTTTGTAAGGGCTGTAGTTGAAAAGGGAGCTCCAAAATCTGAGGGGTCTATGTGGCTGCAGGGGGACCCCGGGTTTGGTGCAGGTGGCAGTGCTGTTGGCAGGAGCGGAGGCAACACACGAGCACCTGGACCCTTCAGGCTGGGGTGCCCCGTCCCCAAAACTGGGGACACACATCATCATCCCTCTGCCTGGGTGCAGCCTGGAGAGAGAGCCCCCCCTCCTGTTATCCAAGGGGGGCTCAAGGTGTTGGAGAACTGGTAGCAAAGCTGGTCTCCACCATCTCCTTGCAAAGGTGGAAGTTCTCAGCCTGGTGGGGAAGTGGAGTCGATGTCCAACTTCTCTCCATTTCTCATGGCTCCTGTTAGAGGGTGGCACTCTGCCCATCATCCGTGGGCTCCGGGGAGACCTTAGAGCAGCCTCCCAATATCTGAAGGGAGCTACAGGAGACGTGGGGAGGGACTCTTTATCAGGAAGTGCAGTGACAGAACAAGGGGTAACGGTTTTAAATTGGAAGAGGGGAGATTTAGATTAGATACCAGAAGGAAATTCTTTGCTGTGAGGGTGGTGACACACTGGAAGAGGCTGCCCAGAGAAGCTGTGGCTGCCCCATCCCTGGAGGGGTTCAAGGCCAGGTTGGAGGGGGCTTGGAGCAACCTGGTGTGGTGGGAGGTGTCCCTGCCCAGGGCAGGGGGGCTGGAACTCGATGATCTTTAAGGTCCCTTCCAACTCTAACCATTCTATGATTCATGGTTTAGAGCCTGGGCAGAGGCTCCACCATGTTCTTCAGGGTTGAATTCCTTCGCGTTAGGGAGCTGAACTGATTTAATGAGTATTTATGCTCTTGTTCAACAGCTGTCTCCCTGCACCCCGAGCTGGAGATCCCGGCCGCAGGCGGTGGTGCTGAGTGTGCTGGGTGCTGGTGGCACCTGTGAGGCCCATCTGCAGAGAGCCTTGATTGCGGCAGCCGAGGAGCGGTGTTGCAGTATTCCCTCTTCGCAGTGATAACTTTGAAGTGACTTCTGAAGGGTTGCTGGAAGTGATTTTTGTCAGATTAGAGATAAGAGAAGAATCCCACCCCTTGGGGCACGAGCGGTTCAATCCATACCAACGTGATGGAGAGGGAAATTGGAGAGAGCTTATCAGCTTGAGGAAAAATCAAATGTAAACATCATCTCCAGCATGATTATGGTTCACAGCTTAGTTGGATGTCACATGCCTCTTTCCCGTGAAATGGTGCTAGCGAAGATGATGGCAGAGGGAGTCAGCTCGGCAAAAACAGGCAAAAAAACACCCAGTGCCATGAACTTTTAAAGACCCTGCAGTTACTTCACAGTCAATAAGTCACAGCTCAGCTGCAGGGAAGGAGGAAGGCAATGAAAATAGATTTCAGGCTGCTCTGGCAAATTAATTGTCCTTTAAGATATGAATCGGCTGGAAGCAAATAGGGAACTGGAATTGTGGGGCTTGGGAGCTGTGAAGGGCAGTTTTTGGGCAGGAGATGTGGGCACTGCCCCAGAGGGTGCTGAGCCCGTCTGTATCAGTGTCAGGACAGGCTGGAGAACGAATCCCCGACAACCCAGGACGAAGAATGATTAATCTAATTTTCATTAACTAGCATTTGGCACTGACCTGTATATAATAGCCTGTTACGCTGCTGCTGGCTCTGCGGCTGGCGAAGCTGCCGTGTCCCACTTGGGAAGCTCCTGGGCCTCTCCAGAAGGGCTCCTCGGGGAGTGACCCGAGTGCATTTAGCAGGAGCAGTGCGTAATTTGGGAATGATTATTGAAGTGATTCGCTGACATGACCATTATGGGCTCTCGCCAGATGCACCATCTTATTAAATATGATTTTCCCATATAAGGTGGTCGCAGCCTGAAAAGCAGCAGCAGGAATTCCAGTATTCCCTTTCTTCGTGAACACGTCTTTCAATTGCAGCCAGGCAAGGCCAGAAATAGGTCTGCGGTGGCTCTGCCGTACCCCGACAGAGGCTCAGAGAGCCCTCCTCGCCGCATGCTGCTCACATCTTTTCTCACGTTTGATTTTTCCCCTTCATCTTTTGGGTCTGCCAAGAGTATTCCTGCAGACCAGGATTAATCTATAGCGGCCTGGCAGGTGCTTGGCTCTGGAGGCGGACGCGG